GGCGGGTTCCTTGAAGAAATAAAAGGCACACCCAACCTCAGTAGTAATCCCTGTACTTCCATTTGCTTCTCAGAATATGTTTGATTTTCCCCTGTTGGTTTTACAGGGAATCTCTGACTACTGGAAATATGATAGGGGACAAAAGGAAATGGAGGTGTATAAATTCTTGCACCCGTGTTGGTAGAGCCAAAAGTCAATGGGCTTCGGGTGCTGCTCCATGTTGAGCGGACCGCATGTCCATGGTGGTTAGTCCATTTGATTTTCCATGAAGCGAATCTGTAAAAGGGCACTTGAAGCTTTGTCAAAAGTAGGGCCCCTTTTTGGCATCCCCTTTAAACGGCGGCAAGGTGGCACCAGGTCCCAAAGAAGGTCCATACTTTTGATCACACCCCTCATGCTTTTCCACGAGCAAATGATGAAATTATCGAATGGTATATAGGTTTGGATTGCACCCGCCAGTGGCTCGGCGGTGGAGATGTTTCCGGTGCTTGTTTTCCATAATATGTGTTCCTTCTCACTGGAAACGGCTTCTGCTGGCTTTAATCTGCGCCCGACTATCTTTGCAAAGGAGCAACACGGGTATGTGTCAAAGTCAGGATCTGGATCCGAAACCTGGGTGGGTGTTCTTGGTGTCCCTGAAAAGTCAGGTAATCCTTATCTTCACCCAGGGCTCCTTAAAAGTCCATTTTGCCTGCCCAATTGAACCATGGCTGGCTCTTTCCACACCAAAAGAAAGGAATGGAAACCCACCATTTCCCAGTTGCAATGCTCGATCGGTATGCATCCGGATCCCGATTTTTCACCCTTGGATTGGTTTGGTTTGGATTTAACATCTCAAACCTCCAAACCATTGGGCTCCGAGAGGAAAGCTGATAGGCTGCACCTATGATACCTAGGGAAAGTGTTTCGGGACAGGTGGGGTTATAACCCACTTACTTTTTTGTACGTAGGTGGACAGGAAAGCTCAAGAGGGGTGCCTTGAAAAGAGCTCGTCATGACCGGGTAACTGGGAGCAGCTGGGACAAGCGGAGTTCTAACCCACTATGTTCTCGGCATCGTCTTGCGTACTTGTTTTTTCCCCCCCCGAAGGAAGGTGAGGTAAGGTACAACCCAAGCCGAAAACCCAAGCCGCATCGAGGATCGCACCTGGCGCTGTTGAACAGGGAGTTCTCCGCCGTGTTCTGTGAGGCGAGGGCGGAGATCCCGGGTCGTTCGAGGCGTTGGCCTAAGACGACGGAACCCTTCTTGGAGTTGGTGTCTATTGGGCAACGAAGAACGGGGAAGTCTAGGGAGCCATCTATTTGTTGGGGGAGACGACTCAAAAGGGGGCACATGGACCGCCCGCTGCTGCTTTTCCACAGCAACTGTTGTAAGGGTAAAGTGTCTGAAAAGTAGCGAGCGCAACTCGGCGATCCAAGTAGCCTCAACAGCAAGCACGCCAAGGCTTCGGCTTTTGCAGGGGTTCCCCCAAAGGGCGCCCCCTTTTTTCTCCATGGAATCCACTGGGAGTCTGGGTAGGAGGGTAAGAATTATAATTTCCACTGCCCAGCGTGGAAATCCATACCAAGGAAGGCTGAGTATCAAAGTGGATGTTGAACAGAATACATGGGGGGGGAATGTGTCTTGGGAGGGTATCCTTTTTGGGATGGTTCAAAGGGATACACCAAAAGAAAGCCAATCGTTGTTGGGGTCCACTGCTTGAACATAGAACCTTTGCGTTTCCATTTGACTCCCTTGAAAGCATATCTTGATCAGGGCGATGTCGGATGGCTTGTCATAAGGGAACCAGAGCGACCTTCTGCACTAAGCCTCTTCTTGTTATTATGTTGTTTTTTTTCAGGGCTCCCCTTTTTGGTAGCTTTTCGGGAAACCAAAAGGAACAAAGGTCCATCAAAAAAGGACGAGCCACCTACTCGTGGGATGATCAATATGTTTCTTTAACTTGGAAGGCACCCATCCCGGGAATTCCATCCTCAGAGCAGGTAACCAAGGGGGGAACCAGCCTTCAACCAAAAGAAAACTGGCGAAGGGTTACGGCCCCCCAGTGATGTCTTTTTTGTTGTTGAGGGGTTTCACTTAAAAGTCACCTGCCCAAAAAAGAAGAAAAGGACGCAGAAGCATATAAACTACACTAATATGTGTATATATATATATATTAAGGTATATAAATAACATAACATATAGGTGCATTGTTTTTTTTCCCATGAGGGCTGGGCCTACTATAGTGGCTTGCCCGGGATCCATGAACATACCAAGTCGCTTGGCGTCTTTTCCACAATTAATTGAATTATTTTTTGGTAGAGTATCCAGTGGGTCTCGATCACACCAACCATGTCTCCTTTTGGCTTTTAACGGGTGGTTTCCTTGGTTTCCTATAGACAGCTCAATGGAATTCGCGGCTAAATTATGGGTGTGTCTTTTCTTGTTGGTACGTACCCCTTTTCTATGGTCTGAAGGAAGAACACCCATGCGTGGGTCCCAAAAAGCTGGAATTCTGTGCCCGCTCAACCCTGAAACATGGGGGATGGAAACCCACAATTGTGAAGGTGCTTACCCATGTTCAAGCGTAGTTTCCACCCCCACAACTGCTTTTTACCAGGTCCAACATCCCCTTGCTCTCCAAAAAGCGGTGGTTTAGGTGTCCTTTGTGGTTGTTTTGGTCGAGAAATGGATGGCCCTGGTTTACCTGGTGCGTTTTTTTTCATCTACCAGGGCCATCGACTTCCCCGAAAAGGACGCCTACGAGTGTTTTGTTTTTTCCATTTTGGGGTAGGTGCTCTCCAAAAAGCAGTGGTTGGCACCCGGCTTGAGCCGTTTGGCTTTCCCGTCAGGACTTCGAGACCTGCGAGAGCCCCCGGGTCCGCGCCAGCCCGGATGAGAAGGACCCCCCGAAGGAGAAAGACGAGCACCGCAGCAAGCGCCGGGCTCAACGCGGGCGTTTCTCGCGCGTTTTGCATGCGTGCGCAGTTTTGTTGCGCGTGTTTTTCGCGCGTTTGGACCTCCATTGCAAGGTTCGGAATCTCAAGAAGGGCACATGTTGAGGGATCCCAAGGTTTTTAGGGCGAGAAAGAAAACACTTTGGAAAAGTGTGTTTTCCGGGGTATCATTTTTCTGTGAGTGGCGCAGGGGAAATTGGGTTTCTTTGCCTCCCTCCAACAAGCATAGCACCTGTGGAAGAGTACCTGGAAGATGGTTATTCTTTTTGGGGAGTACCCTGTGTCAGTTGCCATGTTAGTGGGAGGGAGGGTAGGTTACCATTCTCTGTGGCTGGTGGACATTTTCCCTTTTTAGGTCGCCATGTTGTGTGAGTGGCTGGTGGGATCCGAAATGATCCGAAGGGGCTATGGGAACGACCCACATGGGTAGCGCAGGATATTGCTTCCCACAAGCCATGGAGCCTATGAACACACAGAACTGGGTCAACACTTCACAATGAACACAAAACATTCAACCAGTCCGCACCACTGAGCTGCTGTGAAGCGGAGAAAAATGTTTTTAAAAGGCACCTCGCGAAACTGGGACGCTTCCGATATGAAGCAAGCCACATATCGGGGATCACAAGTGATGACATCATATGTTTTTTTGTTTTTATGGCTCACTGAACATTGACCAGAGTCAAACCCATGTTTTTGGAAAGCTGAGGTAGAGCGGAGGTTCGGTCAACATCTTCCATCGTTTGGAACCACTCAGTCACTACATGTCCCGGCTACTAAACCCCAGGGACGCGCGCTAAAAAGGTCCACATGCTTTCCGCCAACTGCATATTTTGATCGTTGCTTGTGTTGCCACCAGCTTGATGGTTGCACCCTCACCAATGGCTGGACGTAATTTCCAGTTATTTCAGATTTCCACCGAGCGGCCCTACGTACGTGCATACCTATACATACACCCATGCCTCCATGCATGCATGACATACATAGCTACTTGGGTACACAATTTCTCAGCAGCACTTTCACATGGCTTCCAAAACAACCCACTCCTGAGGTTCTTCAGCTTGCTCGGGGGCCTCGTTCTGTTCCTCGTGATCGCGGCGGGCCTTGCCTACGTGCTGCGTCCCTACATGAGGTGACTCCACTTCGGGTTTGTTTGCTTCCAGGCCCAGCGGACCTCAGTGACTATCGTAGGTAGCGAACCGGTTTGCCTTTTGTTCAAATATCAAATTTGCCTAGATCGCCAGTTATTTTTTCCAGCAACTGTAACTGTTTTTAGGCTAAAGTGTCTGGAAAAAACAACAGCAACTTGGCGATCCTGGTGGTTGGAATCACTGGGAGGGTCAATCTGGTCATGGTTTTGAGCTCCTTTATCCCGCAACATGTTTGCTGCGTTAAAACAAAAGGGGATGACTGCTCCAGATCAAATCGAACCACTGCCTCCCACCAAAAGAAGGACATTTAATCCTTATTCCGAATTTCCATGTGGTGCTGGTTTCCCTTGTTTTGCACAGCCTCAGTGGGTTGTTCTTTTGCAAGGAAGGTGCTGAGGGAATTCGAAGTGGGCAAACAGCACGCAGAAATCCCTACGAAGCCGACGTGCGAAGGGATTTCTGCGACTCGAAACTGGGCCAAAGTCCCGGGAGGTAAGATGGATGTGCAGCCCTTGTGGCCGCGTCCCGTGCTGGAAACGACGAGTGTCCGGCTGTTCAAAGCAGCTTGCGCGGGAGAAAAAAAAAGGGCGTGCAGGGCAGCTGGCGGATGCGAGAAAGTGTGTGCGGTTTGATCTTTTTGGCTCAGGAAGGAGCTTGATTTACCCACTCTTACCCTCCAAATGACTCCCAGCCATCCCCTTGGCTTTTTCGCCTTTTGATGTTTGGTGCGGATTCCCATTTGACCCACTACAAGTTAAACTTTTAGTGGGGGATCTGAGGGCAGCCCAGACCAATATTCTGAGGGCGCTCTCCAAAATAGTTTGAGCCCACCTTGCGGCTCCTCCCGCCGACTTATCCGAATATGCGGTGCCCGAAGTGGCGCGCGAAAACACGCCGCGCGGGTTCGCTTCTCTGAGGAAGTGCACCTTTGCCCAGAAGGCGATGCAAGCGCAGAAAGCAGGAGCCAAGAATCTGGTGATTTGGGGTTACTCAAAGCTTTCATTTGCTTCGTGAGAGGTATTGTTTAGTGTGTGTGTGTGTGTGTTTTTTTAAGGGATTCTATCACTACTGCAAATATGTTTCATTTTTTCCAGGGGACTTCAGCAAATGGAAGGAAAGGTCCTTTCACAGGATGTAAGTACGCCAACAAGTTGACTTCCCCCTGCAAAGAAAACGTTACTCATGTCAATGTGGGGAGGGAACCGTGCCTCAAAAGACGAGCCGCCCATTTATTGACGTCCTTGAGACCCCCCCCAAATCAAGTCCTTCTGTGGTCTTTCACGCCATTTTTGGTTTGTTCAAATCCACCCCCTTCAGCATCCCGCCTGCACCGCCTGCGCCTCCGGGGGGCGTTGCATGGGGAGGGGTGGGGGCCGTGCCATGGACACCTCGAGTCTATTTTGCAACCATGAACCCTAAAAAAAATAACCATCGCCTAGAAGCAGGAGGCTGCAAACAAGGACCTTTTTTGCAACCATGTTTCCCAAAAAAAAACATAGCCAAGAAACCAGAACCACGGGTGTTTTTACCATACAGAGGGGTGGTGGGGGGTCTTGGAAGAAGTGGAAGAAGTGGGCTGAAAGAAACCTGGCAGGAGCCAAGCTGCTGATCGTGGCCATGCGCGCCTCCGCGGTGACCATGGGCTTGGCCGAGCCGGGAAGCCTCGAGAAATTGTTCGATCGAGAAGAAGTGGAGCCGTGGACCGAGGGAAAAAGCGTCCCGTACGTCCCACTTGTTTTTTTTTGTAGGTTTGTTTTTTGGCTTTTGTTTTAAGGATGTTTTTTTGGGTTTTATTGTAAGGAGGTTTTTTTGATATTTGTTTTAAGTGTTTTGTTTTAGGTAAGGGTCCAAGAAATGGTAGCGTCTGGTGAATATCCCCGCGTCCCACCGTGCTTTTGTTCAAGGAGGGTCCAAGGAAAATGGTAATGTCTTGAGATTTTTTGGATGGTTCAGGAAACCATTTGAACATGTTTCAGGTTCCACCCCAAGAATCTTGGGATCCCTCACAAGTCTTTTTATGAAGAATCCAACATTTGCCCTAAGATTCTTGGTGCCCCACAGGAAATGGGTTACAAAGTTCCGCCCCTGTTCCACCGCAAGAATCTCCTTAAAAAATGTGCCGAAGCTTGCAATTGAGGTCCGTCGACCTCTCCAATGGAGGGTCTGGTGAGGCTTAGGATGGGCTGGTTTCAGACCAAAAGCAAGAGTGCCGGCTGATTTTGATTTGCCTTGTAAAGAAAGCATGGTTGTTGGATGGTTGATTTAAGGGGACCCCCTTTGTGTGCTGTTTCAAGGAAAAACATGTTGAGACGTATCCCCTCATCGACAGTCTGTTGGCGCATTGGTACAGGGGAAGCCACTTCTTAGCTCGGCACCCTAAAACAAGGCATGGGGCACGTAACCCTTCGAGACGTGGTTGGGATCGGATCCTGTGCATGTCTCGTGTGTTTTCAGGGTGCCCTTTTCTTCCCCAGAATGAGTTCCCCCTTTCACCATTTTGCTTTTTTTTTTCTGGTCCCCTTTGTTTGCCACTCACCAGGCAAAAAAAATAAATGCCGGGGTCCGATTTTTCCAGCCCAGTTGTTTCCATGGGCTTTCGCAGGGACAAATCACACGCCTTTCCGGGACTCCTCTGAAGGGCTCGGACGGTTTCATAGAACCGAGTGGACCCACGCTCGTTGCGGTCAAGCCGCTCTTTCAAGAATGCGGCAAGACAGACACGTATCGCAATGGGTCCTTTTTGGTTGTGTGGTTCTTTTTCAGGGTAATTACAGGTCTTCTCCTCTGAAAAACCCGGAAGATCGCCATGTCTGTGTTTTATCATGTGTTGAAAGCCAGGGTTTAAAAATCGAAGCCACACGGACCACCCCCCCCCCCCATCCTGCGTCCAGGTCCGGGCGTCCGCCGCGTTTGCCGGCGGTGGGCATCTCCAAGTCCTCAGAGGACAAGGCGCGTCCGTCCTTCGGCGGCGCATGCTCCGCATGCGCGGCTGATGGGTGAAGTTTCTGGGCGAGCCGGGCGTTTTTTTTTTTTTGCAGCTGACCCCGGATCTATGTAGAACCCGTCCTACCTTTTTAGGGGCAGGGGGGCAACCTCCCCTATTGATATGATGCAATTATTCATATCCTGCGGTTCCTTGGTTCCTTCAACTAGGGTCCCCCAGCTAATTCGGTGCCCTTTCTCACCCCTCTTTTGGTTGGGGAGGGTTCCCCTACTCCAAATAGACAAAACCGAGAAAAACAATGCAAAAAAACACAAGAAACCAAAAACACGGTACCAACTTGTTCTAACCTCTCTACCGGGGGACCTAGGCAAGTTCCTTAAACCTCCTTGAGGTAACCTTTGGGCTTCCTATGCCTTCCTGGAGGTTGCTGGGGGTTGCTTGGGTTGACAAATCCAAGAGCAGCCCCGGTGGGTTGGAGCGTTTTTTTTCCCCTCTTTTTCGGTCCTTTCGGAACCAAACCAGGAAGCTGATTTCTGGGGGGTGATTTTCCAAGTCCATTCTTTTCAACCATCGTTCTTTCCAGAAACTCGATCCGTTTTCCGTGGGTTTCTGGAGGTTTTCTAGAAAGAAGGATCCCCGGAAAGAATGGACATGGAAGGTACCCCTAGCTGATTGGCAGGGGGAAGCCCGAATTCACAACAAAAGTTGAGGGCTGTTCAACCCAGCGCTGACCTTCAGAAGCCGGGGGGGGGGGGGGTAGATTTTTGTCCTTGAGGCCAGGGGAAGTTTAACAAGAAATCCTCACCCCACAGGCACAAATGGCTGTAATTTTGAGCCACACCCAAATGACGTGTCAGCAGAGTATTTTACCGAAGTTCCCACGCTTGACACGGATGTCGGCTCAGATGAGCACTGGGCCTCACTCATTGGAGAGCTCCATGAAACGGGCGGGTAGGGTGGGGGCTGGCTTCTGAGAGCTCCGTTTACCAGTTGCTAACAAGTGGAACCGAGTTCGGAGTGCAGTCATAGTCCAGAGCCAATTCGGAGGCTCACTCAGTTTCCAAGCAAACCCAGGGTAGAAAGAACCCCACCGTGTGGAAGCCGACAGTTGGTGCCTTTTCACGGAAACTCGTCCAAACCTTCCTACCCACTTTCGTTTTGGAGTGTCGTATGAGTGTCGTTTCTCACGTCCATGGGAGCCGCTCATTTTGACTCAGCCAGAGCGAGGCCCTCAGCTTCCTGACGAGGAATCACCGCAGTTCCCACATACCGTGACTGGATGGTGGCGACCTCCGTTCGATTTCACCACCGAAATGAGAAACCATGGGAATGAAACCATAACGTTGGTTGGTATTTACGTTGGGGCAGCAAATCATTCCCTCTGGTTTCTGAATGGTAGTGCGAAATGGATCTCGCCCATCCACAGTGGGTGGTCTTGTTGGGTCAGATTGGTTAAGAATCATTAGACGGGTTGCAGCTTGTTTCCAATCATGTACCAGTGTCATCTACTTTACCAAAAGGACATGACCACATATTTCAGAGGGCGGTCACTTGCAGACAGGAAACTTTCATAGCCGCCACTGGCGAAAGGAAAGCAAGAAACCGCACTGAACACATGGTCCTGGACCCACAAAATCCTAACTTAACCGTGGATTTGCCCCAAACATATGGTTTGTTGCTGAATTCCCTTTTTTTGGGATAGTTTGACGGTGCAGGGAGTCTGACTTGTGGATGCGCAGTACCTAGGCCCTGTGCATTTCACCGGTCGATTGCAGCCGTGAAAGATGCCTTGCGGCTCTTATCTAGGGGTAATTCTCACTCCTGAAGTTGCGTTTCGTACTTTAGCCTTTTTGGAAAGAGCATGTTTGTGATCAACAAACAGCTCCTGGTGACTTTTTCTCCTAAGACATGAGAATTTGAGGGCCCAGGCAATCATGTTGAAGGGATCAACAAACAGCTCCTGGCGACTTTTTCTCCCACGGAATGAGAATTTGAGGGTCCGGGCAACCATGTTGAAGGGATGCGCACCAGCCATTCAGATCATCGCGGAGCTAGACAAGGGCGCCAAGCTCACAGCATCCTGCTGGAAAAGGCCTTCGGTCCAAAGAATCAACCCATCCTACTTGGGTGTTCGACCTACGTCAGGTAAGTAGGTCATAGTCAAGGTTGTAACTTTGGCAACTGGGGTTAGTTGGCTTCCACCCATGCTTGCTAGGTAGGTTTTAGCTCCAAGTATGAATAGGGCCCGGTGTCCCTGGGTTTCGCAGGGATTCGGACCACTTTTGGAGGGGGTTTCCTACTCCCCTATGAATAAACTGCCCATAGGTAACGGGAAACCATCATCTTCGTGGTTCCCAGCCATCAGCTTTTTAGCCTTAGTGTTAGTCGGTATTTCCGAATTTGACCCACCACAAGTTAGTCACTTTTGGCGGGGGATCTGAGGACAGCTCATGTAAAACCTGGAAACAATACCAAAGGGTTACCTACAGTGGCGAAACGCTTGGAGGACCCTGGAGTGGATGAATCCGGGGGTGCTTTCTTTTTTACCCGAAGTCGAGTCCGAATGCAGGGGTTTCATGGGCCCTGGATTTGCAGGCCAGTCCAAGACAGTGTGTTTCCCAATCACCTTACCTTTTCTTTCATGTTTGTTTGATTAGCTGTTGGTTTTGAAAGTCACTGGACATATTGTGGTCTTATTTGTTCCAATTCTTGCGAAAGGCCCAAGAGTAAAACCTCCGTTGCCAATCGCATTTGTCGGACTAGGGTCTGTCAACATGGCGACCAAGACACCCGCACTTGCCCATCTCTATTCCGTATGGGCGGGGTGGGTGTAATGCGGAAGTGTGAACATCACCTTTTTGCCGTGACTTATGGGTGAAAGATGGCAGAAACCATTCCCCATCACAGTTTCCCCCAGTTGACCTATGGGGGCGTCTTTTTTAGGCGCCCCCCTCCAAATGGTGGTTTTCCTTCTGGTTTTCCTTCAAAGCCAACCCCAACAAGTACCTGGACCCTCCAGATCCAACTTGCAAACGGGTTGCAACCCATTCCTTATGTCGGATTGAGGGTTCAGCTACACAGACCCATGTGGCGCGTGACCCATGTCTTTCCATGCTGACCCCCTTCTCAGCACATGGACTTGAGACACTTTTTGGGACCAGTTAGATGGTCTAAGCCTTCTTTGTCAACCCATCCACACAAAAAAAGAAAGAGAGAGAAATAAACAACAATTAGATAAAAATAGTTTGATTAAATCCTGTAAATTGGAGATGGATAGGATATGAAAAGAAAGGAAGAGAGAGAGAGAGAGAGATAGCAGATTATAGGTGATAAGACGCTATTCGTCTCTCATTTCTGTTTAAGCTTTTTCCCCCATCCACACAAAAATGAGAACTGTTAAGAAGGTGGGAACTCCGTTGATTGCCCCCATTTTTTGGCCAGAAGGACCCCACGAATGGCTGGTTCCTTTGCATATGGCTGCCGGGTAAACCCAAGCAGCTCAGGCAGCCCTTTGGGTTTGGATTTGTGGATTTGTGACTGAAGCTCCACAGCAAACCGAGCGAGTCGGCTCCAAACCGCCGTGGCTGAGTCACAAGCTCAAAACCGATTCGGGGATTGATGAAGGTGAGTAATGGGCCAATCCCTTGCCAGAAAAATCGATCTCCGCGGATCTCCGCCGAAAGATTCTTGAAGAATGGTTCTGGGTCGACCATTTGTGTACCGGGTTTTCATTGTGACTCAACTGAAGATGGTTTTCCTTTCCGCGTTCATCCTTTTAAGCCAACCCTTAAAGGGTACCGAGCCTCAAAACATGGTTCTGGGATTATGACAATTTTATTACCGGGTTTTGATCATGGCGGCCACGGATTTCGAGAAATTTCGGATAGGCAGGAGAACGTCTTCGGGGACGTGGTGAGCGAGGCGAGGGCTCCAACTCGAGGGGTGCGGTCGGGGGGGAGGCTGCCCTTTTGATGGAGGGTGCTTTTGCAAGGTTTGAACAACCACCAAATGCGAAACCGCCATTTTTGAAGGGTCTCCCCACTTGTGGCACATACTTATTTCCGGTATTGAGGAGGTTTAAACATCCCCTCCACATCCCCAGTCCGGTTTTGGGGGGTGGTTTGGGCGGGGTCCAAGCAAACTGGATGTTTGGAAACCAACCAACAAAATTCAAGATCACACAGACATGAACAATGTGCTGCATCAAGCTCTTTTTCGAAAAAGAAAAAAAACTGCCTTATGGCAATGAGTTACGAGAAGAGCAAATAGTCAATTTTGCTGCTCTTGGGGCTCTTAATTTTGCGCGTCCGAGCCTCAAGCAAGCCACTATCTCACTCCCTCAGTGTTTCGGACTTCGTCACTTGGAAAGACAATTGGCCTTCATTGTAGAGGTCGAGCCAGACCGTTGGAAGGTTCGTCAAAGCGGCACATGAGGGTAAATCATAAAAGTTCCCGGTGACTTTGTGTTGGCCAATTTATTGGGTGTGAGCTATAGTTGGACACCACGGTGAAACCTGGAGGCAACAAATGTGACGCGCCGAATGATCTCGTTGGCCCGGACTGAAGCCGTACTCAGTCCATTGAGCCCAGCCATTGGCAACCGAACCAGCTTCTTCCTAGGGGAGTCCAAGCATTCCTTCATCGTTCTTTCAAAATAAGCGGTCACCGTTTTTTTCTTCTTCCAGGTTTCCAGAGGTCTTAATCTCTGGAAATGGTTGGACGGTACCCCTGGAATCGCATCTTAGACAAATGTTTTCGCCCCTTAGGTGCTTGCGTCCACAGTATTTATTCAAGGAATCCCCAGAAGGAGATTTGCAAACCACCAGAGAAAATATATAGGTCCTTCCCTGATGACCACCCACTCAGGGACAAATGGGGGTGGCTCCTCTTTAGTTCTTGATGTGGACCCGCCATCCAATTTGTTGCGGGTCTCTTGGGAATCGTCTTGAAAACCGCAAAAGGGGCGAGGGCAGGGTTGTGGTTGGGAAACATTTTTCCAATTTTTGCTTATTGTGGTTGAGTGGTTGAAATCCGAATCCACTTAGCTGCTAACATTTGAGACTCTTTGCTCCCCAAACCCAACGTCAACCAACAGGGGTACCATGAGGGGTTTTTCAGGGGGCTTCCAACTCCGGGGGGCTTCCAACTCCAAGTCCCATCCAATTTGTTGCGGGTCTCTTGGGAAACGTCCACCTGGACCCTCAAAATTCCAACTTAAAAATGGGTTTGACCCCCAAAATTGTGGTTGGTGATATCCCATTTTTATGGATAGTTTGAGGGTCCAGGCAACCACAAGAGGGGAGTACCATGAGGTTCCTCGATATTTTCGGGTTCGGTCCAGGTGTGCGTGGGCCTGCTGGCGGTAGGTCTGGTGGCCCTTGGCGCGTGGTACGGCGTGGAGGACTCCCGTGCCCCAGCTAGCAGCTAGGTGCCCTTTCTCTCAGCAGAGGGTTGCGCTACTAAATTTGACTACGGAAAAAAACAAAATCGGGTACCCTTATTCTAACCTCTCTACTGGAGCACTTCCTGAGTTCTTGGACTTGTAACTTTTTGAAAAATGCATTTTTTCCCCAAATAGTGTTTACACTAAGGGTTTCTTGCGGTGTAAATGGGTCTCTCTTCTTGTGAAGCGAAGGGTACCCCGCTTTTTTGGTAGTTAAGGTGCAAATGGGTTGGTGGGGCGGTACCCCTTTTCGGTAGTAAAGGGAAACCAACAGGAAAACCGAATCCATTTTAGGACCCCTCTTCGGTGGTAAACCAAGAGGAACAACTGCCACCATTTTGTGGTTCTCGAAAAAAGACACACCCACATGTAGAAATTTGCAGGAGAGCCAGAAACGGTGATAATGTAGTTGAACAGTTGGTTGTTTAGTGTTTTCTGCAGTTGCCCTTTTCCGTTCTCCAAACACCCAGTTCGCCCTGACGAGACGTCACCAATTTTCGTGCGGGATTGGCCCATTGTTTGAAGGTAAGGCTAGAACTATCATTGTTTGCCAAGCAGTCTGATTGGGCTTCATCCATCCAAAGGGACTCACTTTTCAGGCCTTAGAGGAAACCTAAAGTAAAGCAAGCATCTTGAGGTGACCAAGATTGGATTCCCCCCGCACTTTTGCGGCAATTGCGGCAAGGTCCATCTTTTCTCTTGGGAGTCCGCCTATTTTCACGAATCCCCGTTTGGTTGGCGAAGACAAAGGGTACTTGATAGTTGGGTGTTCGACTTACCAAGTTACTAAGTTGCTGGCAAGAGTCCCTCTAAGTGGCGTTGCGATTTTTATTGGGGGGGTATAAACCAAGCAGCTAACCACTTGCCAACTTGGCCGAACACCCGAGTACCCCCCAAAAAGACACCGCCACGCAGTGCCAGGACTTGCGGTCTCCGTCCACCGCGCAGCCGGCTGGGAACCGGAGGGGGTGTGGGCTGTAGCTCCAATACAAGTGGGATCCCTGAAATGACGCGTTTAAGCAAAAAGAACATGGATTGCTACCCCTCCTAAAAGACAGAATCGACCCCAAAACTTCAAATTGACCTTTTTGGTCGGTCATCGTCTTGGTTTCTGGGGAGTACCTTTGATGTGCGGGTGCTTTGGCCAGACAAATGCGTATGCATGGGTCAAAATGAAGCCACCAGGGCACCGGAGGTTTTGGGTCACTCACCAGGGGTTCCATGTTGGGTACATCTTTTTGACCCACGGTCATAGGGAGCCAAAGACTAGTTGCCTGCTTAGAACCGTAGCTGTTTCATTGTGAGCCACGCCTATGTGGGCATGAACAGGTTTTGGTGTTCATGTTTCCAGTTTGGGAGGTTTGCCCTTTGCCAACTTCGAGTGTGTGTGTGTCTGTTTGTGTTTGGGATCCCCAACATGGTGGTTGTCCCTTTCGTGCCCTTCCACTCCCAAGAAGTGTGCCCTAAACAAAATAGAGCTCCCCCAAATTGAGCGACCAACAAGAGGATGCCCCTGTTTAGCTTCTTGTCGTTGTTGTTGTATTTGGGGGGCACCTTTCTCTGGGTGGTGGGAAATAGAAGAACCCCCTGCCAAACCGACCAACCCCAGAAATCCACTGGACCTCTCAGGGCCTGGGTCAAAACTCTCGGGTAGGGCGACGTCGAGTTGGAGGATCTGACAGTTACAACCTGCAACCAACCAGGTGATTCCAGCCACGTTTTCCCTTGCAAGGGTTCCCTTGCAATGACGGCTGTCCCTTCACCTTTGTTGGACTTGTTCCTCAAGAGTCGACCAATGAAAAGGGGTGGGCTTGAGCTCGACTCTTACCCCGGACCTGTCCACAGCTCTGAATGCCGAGGGCCAGAACAGGGAAGAAATCGTGGCTGTGGAGGCGAGGAATCGAGCGCTTAGCATTGGCCCATTGGAAGGTTCCATTTTGTTGGGGCCGCAACCAGGCCATTTTCTTTTCGCGCCACTCAGAAACCCTGGGAAACGATTGTTTGTTGGTATTTACAGAGGAAATCATCATTCCAGGGTTTCTGAGGAGGTGCGAAATGGATTTCGCAACCATCCACAGGGGTGTTCAGATCAGCCATGATGTGCATAAACAAATTCCTGCAGTTTGGAGGGATGATGTTCTGTGAGCAATGAGCTATAGCCCTTCCGACTGGTGTTGCTCTCCTACCCTGGAGGTCCGATCGGATTCCCCCCTTCCCAGCAATAGGCCCTTCTGCACAAGCAAACCTCGGGCGGTGGATGGGGAATGTTGGCTTCTCATTCAGCCCAAGGCCCGTTATAGACTCAGAGCCACTTGGAGGGAGACATTGCAGCTGAAAAACGTACGAGTGACGGTTTTTTGGGTGGCCTTGGACCATGCGTGAACTTGTCATGCAACTCAACTTGCTCTGAGTCAGTATTGGATAGCGATCCTGGGAAGCATGTATTTCTGCATGCTCCTCTAACTGTCAGCTGTTTTTGTTGACGGACTGTGCGAGGGTTTAGAGTGAACGATATTGGGGGTATGGAAAAAAGCATCCTCGTGCTTGTGGGAATCCGGTTTTGAGTTCGGCAACTTGCAGGGCAGCAATTGCAGCTCACTGGCCCAAGCAATTATTGAGCTCTCCGTTGGAGAGCCCGACCTTGATGGGAAGGTTGGGGGCCTCATTTACGGCGTTGCCAGTTTGAGGGGATCCCAAGATTCTCGGAACACCAGAAATGCGGTGGATGGTGGCGAAATCCGCTCGCACCACCGTTCCGAAGCCCAAGGATGATTCCCTTGTACATACCGCAACAAACAGTGGTTTCAGCCATGTTTTCAATGAAACACTGAAATAGATCAGCAATGAACCTGAGTCAATAGACTTTTGAAGGGATTTTGCAACCATCCACAGTCTGTCTCGGGCTCAGGTTGTGCGACGCAGTCCTCCCAACAACCTGGCCATTTGTGGGTTTGGCCCAAATCCAGGGGTGGCTTACATTCATTCCAGTGGACATGAACGAAACTCCACTTGGGCGTTGGTTCTGTCCATTCTGAGTGGGCTGCAAACACCAGTGGCTGCTTGCTCATATGAGGATTGGAAAGGAGACGTCCAGGTTAGTTGACTTTAAAGATTCCGCCAGTCTGAGAGCTTGGCGGTTCGCAGCCATCCGGTTTCTCATGTTTTCTCAGCTTTTCAGTTGGTTTAGTGGTTGGGTTTCCATTTATCCCACAAACATATTCTTCACTTTCTTCGGGGATCAGTTACAGCGCAGAGAGTTGGACTGCCTTTTGAGTCGATGTCTTAGTTGGGTTCCTTTCCGTGGTTTTTTGGGCTAGAAGAGCCACGCGCGAGCTCGCGCCTCAATTTTTCAGAGGAGTCTTCGGGGCTGCACTTTGTGCTCTTCGGCTCTGTGCTGCTCACCGTCTTGTACTTCTTCATGAAGTGCCGGCCGCTTTTGGCTCGTAAGAGGGGAGCCCCAAAAACATCGAAGGAAAACCAAGAGGAACACCACCAGGCGACATGGTGGTTGTCGTGGTTTTCCTTCGAGCCAAACTGAAAAGGGTGACCCGCCCAAAAAGCAATCACGCATGAGGTTTGGTCAAGACCTGCTGACTTGTCTATGGTTCTTTTCGAGCTCTACATTTCCAGCAAAGACCGGGATGAGCACCAAAAATAGAGTATTCAGGGGATCAAAAACAAAAAACCGTCCGGGGATCAAACAGAAATTATTGAGTCCTAGTCTCCTAGTCTCTTGGTCTCCTAGTCCCCCTGGTCTCCTGGTCTCTTCCTGGTCTCTTGGTCCGCTGGTCTCTTGATCTCCTGGTCTCCAAAGCCCAGTCCCACCCTAGACCAACACAAGACCAACCTAGAAACCGACCTTGAAACCAATCCTGCGCAACTTTCAAGCAGCCCGAAACCAACCCTGAACCAGCCTTGAAACGCACCCCAAGCCACCTTGAACAAACCAACCCTAAACCCCCGCCGCTCTTTGGCGATGCGGGGGGCGGGGGGAGGGGGGAACCTGTGCTACAGGCATGTAACCGATGCTAGTTTTGTTGACAGAACTGTACTCGCACTGAAAAGTTGCGATGTTCGAACTGGAGCTGCCAAAGTGACCTTCGTGTACTGCGCTTGTGTTGAAAAATATTTTGGAGCTGTAGCCATGAAATCCGTGCGCTGTTTCCTGAAAATGATGTAAATTGCAGCGTTTGGGCACCCCCGGGCGAGATAATTTGTTTTTGATCCTGTAAATACTTTTCTATTGACCCGGGTGTCGATAATTTCTTTGATCTCGTAAATATTGTTTGATCCTGCACCCACAAAGACCAGGATGCTCCTGAATTGTCTCCCCCCTCTTGTGGGGCTTATAGCTTTCCATGTTTCTTGGGGAGGGGGAATTAGCGAGGCGCCGTGTTGGCGATGTGTTCTTCTAGTTCGCTCTTCTTGCCCTAAGAATCATTGGGCCCTCTAGAGAGGTGAGCTCTATTTGGAACAGACGCTAAGGGCAGGGCTGGCTTATCGTGAGGTGAGACAAAAAGATGAGGGTTAGTAAGGGACGATCCCAACCACAAAAATAACCGTGGCCGCCTTCTTAGTTCTTTACATGGTTCTGGGTGCGCCATGTTTGTACCTGGTTTTGATTATGACTCAGGTGGGCAAGGCTGGGCAAGCAATAGAGTCACAAGAGTTTCTCTTTCTCTTTTGCTCTGGGTGTCTGTCTATGTGTCTATGTGTCTACGTGTCTGTTTGTCATTTTGTCTGTGCCTGTCTGTCTGTGTGTTTGTGTGTGTGTGCCTGCGTGTCTGCGTGTCTGTGAATGTGTGTTTGTCAGTCTCTCTCTCTCTCTCTCTCCCACCTGTTGTTTCATCTTGAGGCGGGTTTGTCTCCAAATGAGTGAGGGGCCCCAGTAGTGATTGGCTTTCGTTTGCTAAATGCTGATTGCAGACTAGGAGAAGGGCAGCTGAGACTTCGGGCCATCCAGGGCAAGACGCGTGGCAGGGACGAGACTGGATGTGGGACACGCGGCTTGGCGTGCGAGCAGACCATACCAAAATCGGAGGTGTTTTTCCAAGGGGGTGCCACTGCCCAAGACCTATCCAAAGCCCGGGGTGCGGGGGGGTCTATTTTTTCCTTCCAACGTCACCCAACAAGGCAAACAGTAAGCGTGCTATGAATTCGACGCTTAAAAACCAGCCCGCGCTTTGCGTCATTTCATCTTCAGAACGCATTAAAAGGGGTGGTTTCCTAACAAAGGACACCAGTGCACGAGGCCCCGAGTCCGTTAAACTAAAGGGGCCGTCTTCTGTTCCTTTTTTCGCATGGGAGCTGAGAATTTGAGCCACGCAAGGCAAGACGCGTTCCCAATGCCAGCTAGTTGGGGTACTGGGTGGCAAGTCACCAATACGTTGGCCTTCTTTTAGGACAATTGCGAGGAATGTCTTTGGCAAGTAGCCGTCATGCGAGCAGCAATCATTCACCAGCTTAGGCTTTGGTTTTTTCAATCCAAGGACGCTTGGCAATTTGTTTCATTGGGTTGCAACACACCATCAAGTTGCTTGACGTCTTTTTGAGCGAAGAACGGTGGCAACGCAACAGACATGGACAACGACTCATGGGCCGCAGCCTTTGCATCAAGCCTCACTGCGTTGGCGCCCAGATGCGTGGGCAAAACATGGGAATTAGCCGAGGAAAACTATCCTGTGGCACCAAGAAGCAAGCTCTTATTCTGTGGCTGCCTTGGCTAGGAAGTATCCAGCGCCTGAATTTTTCTAGCCCCTGTTATTGACACAGGTCTGCGCCTGAAACTGCAAGTGTACGTACCAGAGAAGCTGCGCATGTCATGCTAGATCTGAAGCAGACATAGTGCACGGCGCAGCTGGGTCAATGGCAAGCTTCGCGCATGACGGGCCAGCTGTGGCGAGTGACAAAAGCAGGGTCGGCCTTTTCACTCCACCTTTTGGAGCCATGAATGGCACACCCAAAAGTGTAGAACCCTCTTCATGGCATGGGTTCCTTTGCAAGGTATGTCATACGTTTCCCAAAACGTGCAAGAAAGGTGTCAAAAGGATAATTCTGGAAGAAAGTGCTAGGATCAAGGCTCCTGCAAAGAGCCCCGATGCGTCTTATCGGGCATGGTGTGTCAGCCTGCTCGCTAGTGCGACTTTGACAAACTGTATATGTGATTCGAGTTTTCGTGCTTGCGGACCTCATTTCAACAAGCCTCTTGAGATAACAGGGTGGTGTGACAGTGACAGCCAACTTGCAGGGGAACCATATATTTGTCTTATGCGTTTCTGGATTGCGGATTTCGGGTTGTGGATCGGCGCCTTGGGCTTGCTGGCGCCGCAGCATCTGTGCAAACTTGCCCCAAGTTTTCCGACTTGAGCTACCAACCCTGCTCTGGAAAACGGCAGATTCGACCACTGTCTCGGGACAAAACCATGCAAAGCCCGAGCTCACTCTATTGCTTGTCCAGCCTTGTCCAGGCCTGATCTTCTCCTCTTTTTCTGTGCATGTCTGTCTGTGTGTCTTGGTGCCTGTGTGCCTGTTTGTGTGTGTGTGTGTATGTTTGTGTGTCTGCGTTTCTGCGTGTCTGTGAATGTGTGTTTGTCAGTCCAAATGCCGGCTAGCTAGGGTACTGGGAGTGTTGGCCTTCTGTCAGGACAATTGCGAGTGAATGCCACCCATGTCCTTCAAATTTTGGCAGGTTGAGTGTCTTGCATGATGCCAAATCTTCAAAGTCTTCGGCCGGCGTTTGAGAAAACGGCTTGGAATGTAGATCGACAAATGTTTCGCTTACGCAAATAGCATCAAATCGCGAACCGCGCAATCTTTAATCAGATGCGCAGCATCTGATCAATTCACGTCAGCCGCAACTACCTCTTCAGAGCTGCGAGCAAAAGTCCTGGTCGCAGTTAACTTGTTACTATGCTTCTGGGCCACCCATCATCTAATGTTTTAGATTGTTTTGTTTTCCATGCATTTTCCTTGCACCGGGGAACAGAGTTCACTCTTCGCAGGGATCCGGTCGGATCGAGCTGTCTGGGTCACTCTCAGGTAGCCCCCAATTGGCTTGGGGATTCGAAGCTGTTCGTGTAAAGAGTATGAATGGGTGTGTGTCTGGCTTTTAACGATTTGAAAGGGAATTCAAAAGGAAAACCACCATGTCAGTGGGCCTGATTCCAAAAAAGGCACACCCCCCTTCCTTGCAAAGGGTCACGTTTTTGCAAACCAAGCGGACAGAGGAGATGGCACCCTGACAGCCTCACCGGAAGCGTGGAGTCAACGCTTTCCAAGGGGACATACTCTGGACAATCCCTTTTCAATAGAGGACCGTCCATGTCCGGGTCCAGTGTCCGCTTAAATATTCCAGCCGGCTGGTTTTGCCGAACGCCCGCGGTTTTGTCCAGCCTCCTCGTGGCTGTCCCTTCATGTCAAGGGTGAACATTGTATTTTGGGTCAAAGTGAGCAGAACTTCCCTTGAAAAGAGCGGCGTGGAAGTGGAATGCCGACTCGGATTTGTCAAAAGGACAGCCATTATCCGGTTACGATATTAGAGAAACCAGAGAAAGCTGGGAATTGACAGAAATTAAGAAACGTAAAGAATCACCACGGTTTATGAGTGCCATCTTGGGCTGAGGTACTTGATGCTTTTTACCCAAGGTGACTGTACCTGCTTGAAGCAACGGGGCTCGCAGAAACTCCCCACCTTCTGTTGAGCCACGGTCACTGCACATCTCTTTCCAGCTGCCTTTGGACAGGTATACTTGCATGACTGCTATTGGGTTGGATCTTTAGACGTTATTTTTTGGGGAAATCAAGGGGTGTTCCACTAAACCCCACAAGAGTTAACCTTTTTGCGGGGGGGTCAACAGCACCCAAGTAATTACTGGACAGAGTTGTTTTTCTTTCGGGGGACACAAGCCGCAAAATGGGAGGTACTTGATCTGGGTGCTCTTAGTGATCTTTGCCACTGGCGCCGTGCCGGGAGCCAAAGCGAGAGCCGCCCTTTTTGCCGCGCGCAAGGAGCCGGAAGTCCAAGGAGAGTTGTTGCTCATGCGGGGGTGGCTCCCCGTAGAAAAAAAATCCCTTTTTGGGGTTGGTTTAAAGGGGAAGCCAAAAGGAGAACCGGGAGTTTTGAGACACCCCCGTGTCGCCAACATGGTTTGAGAGACACAACGTCCATTCCCCCCCCCCACGTTCTATGTCCATCTGCAACGTCGCCCCTTCTCCCAATTTGGACGCCTTGCCGCTTTGTTTTCTTGTTTCCCGGGTGGATTAGATGTCAAGACAGTTGCTTTGGGTTCGGGCCTCCAGCAAAAGCCCAGAATACCAATAGGTCTTCACACAGAGACGTCGCAGCGCCAGAGTTTGGTTTTCGGAGGCCCCAAAGCCAAAGGAAGTTTTGTCAAGGCAACACCAACGTTCCGGACTGAACCAAGATATGTTTGCTCCGAAATGTGTTTTGTTCTGTTTCTTGCTTTTTGTTTTCTTCGGTTTTGTTGTTGGCTTTCTCTACTTTGTGCTTTTGGATTGTCAGTATTTCCGTGGTGGGTTGCAGTTGTTGCTGGCTTTATATGCATCGCTTTGCATTTTTGTTGTTTTTGATGTTGTGCAGATATCTTAAACAAACACGTGTCCGAGCCAGTGTTTTTTTCTTTTTTTACCATATTAGCGTGGTACTTCGAACCCCCCCTTAAAACTCGGAGGCAAGGGGTCACCCTCAAATCCTATGGTTGTGGGCCCCCGAACACAGGCCCCCAATCCCAATGGGGGCTAGCAGCGACGAATTGGGTCTATTCGGGTTGTAGGGGCCATTTCCAGGCGGTCCCTTCTTTGGGGGGCCTACCACAAAATCAAAGAGCGCCCCTCAGGTTCCATGTTGGTGGGAGGGTAAATACTGCGGATGGATGCGAAATCCCTTTCGCAGCACCTAAGAAACTCTAAACTTCTGAGACAACTTCCCTGTGAATGCCAACAAACCATGGTTTTTCGTATTGTTCCAAAGTGCGAACAGATTTCGCTCTTCCATCCACAAAAAGGGGTTTCTTCATCCGAAACCCTAAACCCTAAACCCCCAAACCCCTCACAGAGAGGCGCCGCGGATTCTTCATCTGCAACAAACCCCTCACAGAGCGCCGCGGACTGCTCTGCCCGAACCGAAGGTCGGCCACGGCGGTGCTCTTAGAACCCGCCTTCGCCTCGTGCCTGCCCCACCTGCGCCGGAAGAAGGCGCCCGTCGGCCGGCACCGTCGAAGTCGGAGACGGGATTTCGGTGGATTTTGGAGCTCCGTTGTGTCCGCAGGTTCCAGCCGACCCCTTCCGGTTCTTAGTGGTTTTGAGTTGGCCCCCTTGGGTTTTTAGTGGTTTTGAGTTGGTTTTAGATGATTTTTGAATGTTTTTGGGTTGGTTTAGTGGTTGGGTTTGCATTTAACACCATTGAAAGTGAACTTTCGGCAGGACATGTCTGAAAACGATCAGCCCAGTTTTGGGCCAAGTCACAGCTGTTGTTCCAGGTGTCCAAGCTCACGGAAGCAGATTTTGAGCCATGCGGCTCTTTTTTCAACTCATTTTGGCTCAGGGTTTTTGGGGAAGAACCCGGATGGCCGTGGCCGTTTTTTTTTGCAGAGATACAGTGGAAAAAACCTTGCCCAAAAAGTCCAAAGCTGTTAGAGAGTTAGAGGTAAGCGATCAATGAGTCTTGTGAGGCTTGGTTTTGAGTAAGGCATGGTTCTGGGAAACTCGGTTTTCGTTCTTGTTTTTGAGGGTAGTCCCAAGTAATATGTTTGCCATTTTGATCCTTTATCTGGTTTTTGGCGAAGAGAGTCCCCTTTACAATGGCAACGCCCTAAAGATGCTACATCGGTATCACAGAAAGGTCCATGTTGTAGGTCATGAGTGAGCTGCAGCTCTGACAATGTGGGCCATATTGCGCCTTCATGGGGTGTCGCGTCATTTGCCCTGCCTCTCTCACTCCTATGCGTTTTCAGGTCATGAGTTGACCTGGAATGTAAGAAACAAACGCCAATCCCGTGTTTGAGCAGCGACGCAGGCGTGTAGCTGATTTGGAGATTTGAACACACTCTGGGGGCCGTGTTTTTGGTTGCCAAAGGTTTTAGGGAAGGAATGTCTCAAAAGTGATGAAGGCTACATGCCATAGAGTTACAGGTGCGTCTTTTTTGAGGGTACCCCCTGTTTGGTGGCTTTGACAGCAAGCCAAAACCACAAACGGGTGGTCCCCCTAAAAGCAAATCACTACGGATCTATCCGGCGCCAGATGGGTGGTTGGGTGAGTTTGGGTCTGTCTTTTGGGGGCCCCCAAAATGGATGGATTTCTGTTTCCTTTTGTTTTTGACTCAATGCAGAAAAGGGTGCCCTCAAAAAGACACACCCATGTGTCAGTCGGACATGCTTGGCATGATCCTCTCAATGCTGATTTTTTAAGGGGTGTCCCAACCGCAGAGCAATTTTGAGACCCCTCCAAATGTGCACTTGGGGATGTGTGTGTGTGTGATTGTGTGTGTGTGTGTGGTGTGTGTGTGTGTGTGTGGGTGTGTGCGTGTGTGCGTGTGTGCGTGTGTGCGTGTGTGCGTGTGTGCGTGTGCGTGTGCGTGTGCGTGTGCGTGTGCGTGTGCGTGTGCGTGTGCGTGTGCGTGTGCGTGTGCGTGTGCGTGTGCGTGTGCGTGTGCGTGTGCGTGTGCGTGTGCGTGTGCGTGTGCGTGTGCGTGTGCGTGTGCGTGTGCGTGTGCGTGTGCGTGTGCGTGTGCGTGTGTGTGTGTGTGTGTGCGTGTGCGTGCGTGCGTGCGTGCGTGCGTGCGTGCGTGCGTGCGTGCGTGCGTGCGTGCGTGCGTGCGTGCGTGCGTGCGTGCGTGCGTGCGTGCGTGCGTGCGTGCGTGCGTGCGTGCGTGCGTGCGTGCGTGCGTGCGTGCGTGCGTGCGTGCGTGCGTGCGTGCGTGCGTGCGTGTGCGTGCGTGCGTGCGTGCGTGCGTGCGTGCGTGCGTGCGTGCGTGCGTGCGTGCGTGCGTGCGTGCGTGCGTGCGTGCGTGCGTGCGTGCTGCGTGCGTGCGTGCGTGCGTGCGTGCGTGCGTGCGTGCGTGCGTGCGTGCGTGCGTGCGTGCGTGCGTGCGTGCGTGCGTGCGTGCGTGCGTGCGTGCGTGCGTGCGTGCGTGCGTGCGTGCGTGCGTGCGTGCGTGCGTGCGTGTGTGTGTGTGTGTGTGTGTGTGTGTGTGTGTGTGTGTGTGTGTGTGTGTGTGTGTGTGTGTGTGTGTGTGTGTGTGTGTGTTTTTGCGGGTGCCCCATTGGGAGTTGGGGCTGGTTTAAATGGCAAACAAAGGGAAGGGAACATGTCGGAGACAGACTCGCCTGCAGGGATATGGTCGATACGTGAAGTCCATCAACGACGTCATGATATGCTTGAGAGATTCATCACGGTCATGGCACATGCATGGTTCCGATTCCCATTTTCAGACATACCCGCTTTAGCTTACTTGCCCAACGCGCATCGACCGGATCCGACAGTTTAGCTTCCCCACAACCTCGCCGGTGCGCAGGGAATGACCGTTCCGGGAATGAACCTGGGGATTCCCTTAAAGGGATCCATGGGGGACAGTGGTGTATAGGGGATATTCCCTCATATTCCCTGCAGCGAGAAAAGGGATCGGACGGTTTATAGGGCAGATTCCGACATTCCCTCATTTCCTTCTGAGCACCGGCAAGAAACGGTAAATCTGATATTGTTGAGTCCTTTGGGCAACTGAGGTAACCCTTCTTTCACGTCGCCCAAACTCTCGCTTGCTCGCGCGCGCGCGCACGCCTGGCCTTGAAATGGCAAGGCATGCTCCATCCCCCGCAGCTGGGCCAATCTGATCGGCGTGGACCAGGACTCGAGCGGGATGCTTGTCCCCAGGTTCTCTTTAACTCACTTTCCTTATTGATAACGACATTCCATCAGAATATATTATGTTCTTCGCTTTCTGCTCATTCCTTTTTGTCTTCTCTTTATCTTAGTCCGCAGATCAACGGATTTCGGATTATCGACTAATGATTCTCACTTGATTATTGTCTTTTCGTTGCAATACTTTCTTACATGATTTCATCTATCTAGTGGTCTTTGTGTTCTTCTTATTCTTCTTCTTCAATTTTTTCCCCTTTTGGAGTTGTAATGAACATAATCTCAGAGATCCAGGATCTCATCTATTGGTCGTCATTTGGCATATTGTCCCTTTCTCATCTCTTAATCACATCCCACTGGATTTTACACTGTTTGGGCAGACCTTTTAGCGGCACACAACAAGTTCCAAATTTGTCTGGCCAATCCAAGCAGGAAGTGAGGCCACAACAGATATGTTTTGCCCATGGAAATCCACATGGGGTCTGGGTTATCTTGTTGGTTCGGCAAGGAATGGATTGAAACCATCCACCTGGTCTAAAATGGACCCTAGTTTCATTGCCAACCCTGAGAACCAGCAAGTTATTTGCTTCTTGGAGCTCAACCAACATCTTCAACTCGCATACCTCTTAAACATACCCGAGACCCCAAATGAAAAGAATTTTCATGGGTGGGTTGGTAAAGGTTTGCTCAAAAGGTAGACTCAAAAGTTCTTGGATGAACTCAGTGATTCCTGATAATTACCAGTATAGGCAACCGAGAGGTTTCCCACCCAGAAAAAGCAAAGCCCCAAGCCCCAACTAGCCCTCATTTTTCTGTCACCCACAATCTGCAAAGGCATGGCCTGGTTCCCACAGCCAAGGGGAAATGACCGAAGCCTCTCGAAGGACCATACCTGGACCGAGGCCTTTTCCGAGGCCGTGGGGGTGGCCAGGGCGCCCCAGAGATGACGACGTCACCAATCACCCGACGTCACCAGAGCCACGCGCGTGGAGTGGACTCCAAAGACCCGGCCTGCGTTTGGGGTGTCAGGTTAAAACATGTGCTAAAAAAGGAGGTATTCACCATGGAGCACCAGTTTTTTTTCTTTTTAGCAAATACCTAAACAGAAAGCCAAGGCGGCCTTCTTTCAGGGAGTATCATGTTCCAAATGCGCTTTTATCTACACGGTTGTTGGTAGGTAGAACAAGGTCATTGATGCATTGAACTCGGGCTGACGTATTTACAATGGACTACCATGATTTTGCACTATTTTACACAAACACATACAAACAAACGTGTCTGTTTAGAAGGGGAACCCCCTTTTTTTCAGGGATGCCCAGTGGATACATTAACCTGTTCAAGGGGTTACCACAATGGTTTCAAGGGAAGAACTACCCTGAAGTTTCAAGGGGGTCCCAAGCCATTTTGGCGTGTAGGAATGTTCCTGTCAGAAGATCCCGAAAAAAGGTACCGAGCCTCACAACAGCCTTGGTTTCAATGCCTCTCAGCTCTGGATGTTGACCTGGGATGGCTAGAGATTGCGGGAGAACCCGGAACCGAATTCGTGGAGCTCGCTGAACGGACCTTTCAAAAAGGGAAGGATGCAAAAAGACATCAAATTTGAGGCGTTGCGATTTGGATGGACCGGATTTGTTTCACTTGTTGCGAGAGGGATGAGAGCCTTTGTTGCCATCCACGAAAAAGTCGGCATGCAGTAAACTACGCAAGGGTTCTCCCCCTCCAGGAGTGGCCCTTCCCCCTCCAGGAGTGGCCCGAAGTGCCCCTCCTGAAAATGGATGTGCAGAGTCGCTCCGCCATGTTACACTTGGAGCTTCTGTAAACCTGTTGACCTAAAGTGATGAACCTGTGAGTGAATCGCTGCTTTCCTCAGGGCAATGATGTAGTCTCAGCTACTGACGTACAAGGAAGGCTCAAGGCCATGGGGGGGTGACCCAAGAATTTCATGGTCAGTCCCGTTTTCCTTGGGTGGTACGACGAGCGGCCGGCCCCCGCCCCTTGCGCGAAGGACAGCGCTTAGAGGAGACCCGTGGGGTTCCTCTGTCCAGGGCTTCAAGCATGTTTAAAGAGGGTTTGTTGACCCCTGACTCTTCGGCATTTTGGACAAGCTCTTTGACAAGCCTAGCCTTTTTTGAAGCTAAAGCGTTTAGGCTCTGTTGATCGACCTGATCAACAGCCCAACGATTTGAATCTCACTCCCTGACTTCAGGCACTTTAAACCTTTTTGGAATGTCCGTAAATAAACAGTGCAACATTTTCGGCCCCGTCCACTTCGGGAACGTGCGGAAGTCGAGGTCGGTTTTTGCCTAAGATCTGACGTGAGGCGCTGGCAGTGAGCTTCCTGATCTGGCGCAACAACGAGACCGTAGGCTGGAGCCCTGGATCGGTGGCAACATTTATAAAGGAAAAAAGAAGCTGGTGATACGAGGGTCTCGTGTTTTAGCTCTTTACCTTTTTTTTTCCGCTGGTTTAAAGGGAAGCCAAAAGGAAAACCGCCGTTGGAGGGGTCCCCTAGATTACGGCATACTCATACACCCGCAGGCTCCCGATTGGTTTTGGATCTTTGACAAAGGCTTTTGGGTCCGGGTTCTCCATAGAGGTCATGACCCGGGCAACATGTCAGTGCTTCAACATTTCTGGGCGTGTTTGTTTTAAGTACACCCAAAGCATTATGTTTACGCTCCTGGGGACGTAACATTGTGGTCTCGGGGAGAATGCGCAGGAAAGGAACAGCCTTGCTGAAACATTGACCCAAACCGCCGGACTGCTCCGCGGGGTACTCCGTTGCAAAGAATCGATATGGAACTCAGTGGGGGGGGATTCCATTTGGGTATGTGATAAGCTGGAGGGACCACCAAAATGGTAGTGCTGCTTTTTGCCTTCCCTTTAAACCAGCCCCAAAAAGGGTCTTCTCAAGAACCTTTCCGAAAGGGATGTTGAGTTGGCAAAGTTTGAAGCTTTTTGTACCCCTACTCCGTTTTCCACGGTAAATACCTCGATTTTTAGTAAAGGGTCGACATCATACCCTGAAGAAGCGGGTATTTGGAGTAGAGGGTAGGCAGGTTTCATCAAGGCGCAAGAAGTTCGAACTTTTTCTGGCCAGTCACTTCAGTCTCAGCTGGTCAGAGCTTCGATTCACCACACGTGAGGTTTTTGGGTCGATTGGTGCATTCTGACGGCATCCGCCGAATCCAGGGATGTCAGGTGTGGCGCAACCGCAACGGCCACACCGAGATCCAGGTTCAATAAATGGGCGTGTTTTATTTTTAAGGGGAGCGCCAGATGGCTCTTCTCTCTTCTCCACTTCTTGATCTCTACTTTGATTGAAGGCATCGCGTTGGCTTTTCCCAGGCCAGGCACCCAGGCACCCCATCCCTTTCGCCCGCCGTGCACCCGGCACATTGTGCGACGGTTGCCCGAAAGTCCCAGCCCAGAACCCACCTTTTCCGGCCGCATCTTGGTTTCGAAGATCCAGGTCTCCCGGGCGAAATACCTCTTTTTGGTCAAACAATTCCGGAGGTGCTAGGACTTCTTCTTTTTTTTTTGCCGACTCATGGAATTTCCATGAAACTGTTCGAAGTTAAACCTTTAGCTGGGGAGCAGAGTTCGCAACCGAGATGCCCAACCAGAAGCAACCGGTTTCTCAGTTGGCGTGTTGTTTTTTTTCCGCGTCTCTCGACGCCCCGAGGCTGGCTCTTTCAGGACATCATCGCCATCACCTTCCTGATCTCGGTGCAGAGATCCGTGCGATTGCCCAACCTCAAGGCGATCCGATAATTTTATCCGCCACGAAGTCTCAGAAGTCGGATCTCGGGCCCGCCCTGTATTCTGGTAGGGGGGGTGTTCAATTTAACACACCCCCCAAGGATCGATTATCGATTCATAATCGACCTGATTTTAGGGTGACCCCAAATCTATGTGGATGACCTGTTCCGGGAAGGCTTCTTAGAAGGTGATCTTGGAAGGCTCGCATGATTCGGGTAGGACTAGTCACTTGCGAAAGCCAAAGTCCACCTTGCAAACCAGTAGGGGGGTTATGCTAATCCCAGCATTCAGGGAGACCCCTAAAACAGACATGTTGGTTTTCCTTGTGATGTCCCTTCACTTTACACTACCTTTTAAAAGCTCACCCACCCGCATAGGGTACCCTCCCTCAGCCTTCCCTGCCCCCCCCCTTCCTATTTCAGCGACTGGCAGGTGGCGGTGCTGCTACTGATCTGCACCTTCTTCTTCGACATCTTCTGGGTCTTCCTGTCCCCGATGTTCTTCAAGAAGTCGGTGATGATCGAGGCGAGCGCGTGACTTGAACAGATGTGATTCGTAAAGGCCCAGAGAACGACAAAAGGCACCCAACAAAAAAACGTAGCCCTGATAGATCCTAGTAGGCCTTGTCAGTCGCGATGAGGCCCTAGCTATTGCGACGCCTTTGACACGCGTAGGAACAAAGGCGGTAGGTGCCATGTACTCCGCATATGTTTCGTGTGTGAGGCTCGGTGCCTTTTTCAGAAACGACAAAAATAAAACGACCCCCCCCCCCCGAAGAAAAGAAGAAAAACAACATTAGCCAGCAAGACAACTTTTATTCTTAGGGGTCCCCTGGATCTGGAGGGCAGGTTTTGGAGGTACCTCCTGTTCTTTGTCAGCTTGTCTGCAACTGTGGTCCCCCTGTTCCGGTCCGGCAAATCACATCAAGCGTACATTTCTCAAGTAGCGGGAGTTGAGGTCATGTTTTGTTTTTCGTTGGAGCTCCGGCTCGAAAGTCGCAACTTTGTAGTGCAGCCGTAGTAAATTGACACGTACTCCCGAAGCTTCGGCTCGAAAGTCGCAACTTTGTTGTAAAGCCGCAGTAAAGGAAACCGCTCCGGCTCGAAAGTCGCAATTTTGTAGTACAGCCGTAGTAAAGGAAACGTGCTCCCGGAGCTGTGGCTCGACAGTCTCCCCCTAATGGGGCTGGATTTGAGTACGGGCAGGAAAATACCTAGTTTAGAATCGGTTTAGTATTGGCTATTCTAAAAGTAGTATTCCCGGATTTGGGACTTTGGAAACAGTTATGTATTATTAGGGAGACCTTTGTTAATAGGGGGAACGGATTACTCTGCATATGGTTGTGGCTCCTTGTAGGGACAACCCGCCTTTGATGCGGTTTGAAAGGGACACCAACAGGAAACCAACCACTTGGCTATCCCCTTATTTCAAGAAACACCCATCTGTGTTCCAAACATATGTCGGCATTTGGAGACGGGTTGCTGGGTTCCATTTTTGGTTGCCCCCGAGGAAGGCCTGAACCCTGTCCCTTGAGAAAACAAAAGTTCATTATTTTGGGTAACATTAGGGTTGTCACTGGGCCACGCCCCATGGCGTCATTCACGCGACTCCGTCCTTTTTTTTTAGGTATCGTAGGGTTTTTCGAGGGGTCCATGGCCCTCAGATTTTTCAGGTCCTGGAGCTTCAGGGGTGCCCTTCTTGGGGTTGTGGGAGATGTAGTGTGCTGGCTTGCCGGCCTCGCATGAAGCCAAGTTGGAATGGGTCCATCTCCCACCCTGCCGAGCCTTTGCCTTGGTCGTCACTACAAACCCGAGCTTCATGCCGGAAGCCTTTCAAGGCCCCAAGGTGTGATTCCATATTTTTGTCGACCTTGTGGTGGAACTTTAAAGGGAAGCCCAAAGGACAGCCGCCCCATTTTTTTTTGGGGGGGGTTCCAATTTTTTGAGCCCCACGGCAGGTTTTGGTCGTTCGGCTCGAGACCCGATGGCTCGAGACCCGACGCCAGGTGGCGACGGGCGGCGGCACGGGCCAAGCCGTGCCGGGGCCTCGATCTGGGAGAGTCGAATCGGTGTCGAGCTTCGACTTCCTGGAACCTGGTTGTTGGGAAGCCTTTTACATTTTAGCTTCTTGTGGTTTAGTGGTTGGATTTCACAACCACTTAGCTGCTATTTAAAAAACAATCAAAAAAAGGCTCCCCAAACCCAACGTCAACCAAGCTTGTGGGTATTTCTAGACCTCACGGTGTTGCAACCCTCCCCCAGGGCTTCAGTGGGTGATCCAAACCTTTGTGGAAGCCAAGGAGCAGGGATACGAAGGTTGAGAAGCGCCAGGGGAATCCATGCCCCCATATCCCCGCTCCCTCATTTTCTCCTCGCTGGTTCGTTCATTCAAATCCAGAATCCAGAGCTCCTCTGGAGAGTCGACTCGGTGTCGAATCGGACTTTTAAGGTAGTTGGGTGTGGCTCACAATACAGATGGGGTTGAACGCAAGTTTGAGTCTACCTTTCCATTTACCCGGGCGCGCCTAAGGCGCTTGGCACAGGAGCTCCTCCTGGCAGCCGTTCAAGAAAAACACTGGGTTCCATTTTTTGCAGGCCAGGCCCATAGACTTTACGGTGGCCCCCAGAACATCTGGGCAAAGCATCTGCCTTCCCATGGCTCCGGGTGATCCAAAAACCAGAAACGATTCGAGGTCTCCCAGCGAAAGGGTGCCCTTTCTCCCCCTGTGGTTGGGAGGCTTCGGGACCCTACTCAAATAGAAAAAAAGAAACGGTACCCTGATTTTACCCCCCAAAACTGGAGGACCTAGTATTAGTCGACAGGTTGCAAGGGCTTGGTTCCCTTTTTTCCCGCATCGTGCCTGAAAATGGTGGCCAGCCTTCGGCCGTGAAGGGTGCGACACCTTGGGGCTCTGTTTCTACCAAAAAGGTCACCTTTCTTTGGGGGTTGCAACCATGCTTGTAACTGGGGACAACTGGGGTGATCCTCCCCTGAACAGGGTTACAACCTACTTAAGTCGCCTGGGCTTGAACACCCAATTTTCTAGGGGTACCTTCCATTTCCATTCTTTTCAGGGATCCTTCTTTCTAGAGAATCTCCGGAAACCCAGGTTTAACACGGATCCGGTGTTTGGAAAGAACGATGGTTGAAAAGACTGGAAAGGGAATCAACCCCTAGAATTTCCATGCTTTCCAGGGATCCGCTTCTTTTCGGAAAGCCCGAAAAAAAGAAGAAAACACGGGGGGGTGGGGGGGGGGGAAGAAACAGCTGGTTTTGGAAAAGAACGATTTTTTGAAAGGAATGGACTTGGAATCAACCCCTAGAAAGCTGGGGCATGCGGAGCCATGCGTGAGGCCCATGGTCTTGAAGATCCCCGCGCTGCAGGGCGACCTGCCGGGCCAGTTCAAGGCGTTGACACGCGGAGCCGGGAGGAAGTGCTCAACGTTTGGCCCCCCACGTCCCTGCCCCTTACTCCAAATATATGTGTTTTGCAGGGATTGTTGTGGAAAAGCGTTTTTTTTGGTAATAAAGCTCCCTTTTGGTAGAGGGTCGACACCATACCCTCAAACTTGGATGTTTAACGTCAGGCAAGCAGGTTACCCTGGTAAGCCAACTAACCCAAGGCAAACCCCAGCTATAACCTTGGTTGTAGCCTACTTACTAAGTTGGTTGAACATCCAAGAAACGTTTGGTGCCCCCACCTCCCTACAATCAAGTGTGCTAACCACTTCCTGGCCGAACATTCAAGTAGAAAATCATCTAAGTGCTTCCAGTTTCCACTACAGTAACTAGCCAGGTATGCCTACCTCTAGGTTTTACATCATGATTACCCTTACTATAGCGGCAACTGGAAGCACGAGGCATGATCAAGTGGTTTTGTGAAACTTGCCCAGTAGTTTTGTGAAATATGCCCAGTAGCCTGTGGTCCATGCGGAAGGGACGCATCGGGAACAAACCCGAAGTTTCCCAGCAAACACCAGCGTTTGAACCTAGTGACTCCATTTACCTTTATACGTATCCCAGGGGTTTCACACCCAATAGGGAAAAACACTAGGAGAGTTCTTAGTTACCTGAATCGCCAGTTGCTGCTTTTTCCCCGCAACTGTCTGTTGGTAACGTGTCTGGACAGGCCATGATTTTTACTAGGGAGCCCCCTCCAAAAAATGGTTGGACCTGAATCCCCACCTGAATCATGTCCACCAAAGGGTCCTTAATGAACATGCAGACCCAAATCAGCAACTTGGCGATCCAGGTATGTAGTGGAGCAGCGGATTCCTGGTATCCACTTAGGAAATGAACTTATGTTCCCGATTACGACGGTTCCAGGACCATGTCCAGTCTTCGCGCGTAAGATCTTTTTAAGGCCTCATGGCGTCCTGAGGTGGCTCGAGCTGTTGCGTTTCTACTTGGTTTCACGGCGAAAAGAAGGGTTTGTTTTGAAGAAAGGCCAAATACATCATCATGGCCATCTTGACTTCCTCGGGGGTTACAGTATCTTTAGAGGTATTTCGACCAACCTTGCCACCCAAAGTCCGTGTCGTTTCACCTGCGATGGGATGCCCCAAAACTCTGGGCGTGATGACCACTTTAGGGTAGTTTCAGGGTCCAAGATTCTCGGGGATGGCCAGTTTCCCCCTTGTTTCTTGGGGTTGATTCCAAGTCCATTCTTTTCACCCATCGTTCCTTTCAAAAACGATTTGGATCGGTTTTGTGGGTGTTGGATCGTCGTTTTTTTTTCTGAAAAGATTCGGTTTTTCGGGGAGCATGGAAATGGAAGCTGCGCCCTTCGACCGGAAGGGGGCAGACGAATCCCCGAAGCGCCAGATCCTGGGCCTGGGCGATGTGGCGCTGCCCGGCCTGCTAGTGACACTCTGCCTGCTCCGGCCTCAACGCCTGTCCCAACCACTTGTGCCTGCCCTCGAACTACCTGAACCCTCAAAATTCCCTTAAAAATGGGTTTGACCCCCAAAATTATGGGGTGATATCCCTTTTTTATGGGTAGTTTGAGGGTCCAGGCACTTGGAAGTGCCTGCCCTCGAACTACGTGAAAAATTGGAGACTGCAAGACCGGACTTCAAAAGGATGACCCATTTGGTAGTTTGAAGGTCCAAGTCAGCAACATGAGGTGTGTTTCAAACGGAAACCACCACCAAGCCACCTTTGTTCTTTCGCTGGGGGTTCCCCATTTGCAGAGTATGAGGGTCCACGTTTGTTGATTCCGATGCTCTCGCTCGGGCGGCGGACGCCTGGGATTCTCTCGCCGCCAGTGGGGATGTTTGTCACGGTTTGATCCAGTGGAGAGTCACCTTTTTTTGTTGGGGTGGGTGGGTCCCAGAACTCACCCCCTGCGTTCTTGGACTTGAATTAAGCCTTTTGGGAAGACAACTTTAGTGGCAAACAAAAGTCCAGACTATTTTTGGCCCATCAGCGCAGAATGAGAGAAATCCAAACAAGGCCAACCTCTCAGAGTGCCGTGTTTGCTCAGGCGACATGACCTGACCCGGCGCCACAGGCGGTGTGGCGGGTGCGCTCGCCAGCCGGGTCTCGAGCAGATTTGGTCAGGTGTTTGAGGGTACCAAGTCGACCTTTTGACCTCAAATGGTTTTCCCCTTTTCTTGTGTTGCTAGGCCCTAGTGCATCTCATTACCTTGCATGTTGCGTCGCCTTATTGATGTCCCTCCCCCAGGCTAACATGGACTCTCATTGGGAACCCTTTGAGAGTGGGCAAAAAGCGCGGAGCTATTGCTCAGACAGACTCGTCGCGACTGGCAGGAAGGATTTTTTGGTTTGGGGTCCATTTTCCGGCGTTGGTCCCAAAGGTGATCGCCTTTGATTTCCAGGTCCCGAAGGGGCCAGTGAGGAAGACACAAGAAGGTAAATCCTTGGAGCCACCAGGCTCCGAACCGTTTCAAGGGGTTTATTGAGGTTGGTTTCAAGGAGCCTGCCAAAAGGAACACCAGTTGTGGGGTCCAAGTGCCTTTGACACACAGCTCTTTGGGCGCACTGATTTTTACAATTGCAAGTAGAGTTGGTAACCAAAAGAACCTTGCTCATTTTGCAGCATGGCTTTCTGTGTTTGTTTGTCCATTCTTCAGGCGGCTTTTTGGGTTTGCTGTTGGATTGCGATTTCCTTCAACCCCCCCCCCCCCAAAAAAAAAGAGAAAAGAACAAGGTACCCTCAAACAATCAAACACACAAAAGCAAAGCAAGCAAGCAAGCAAGCAACCAACCAAGCAACCAAACAACCAACCAACCCAGTAAGCGGCAAGCAAGCAACCAACCAACCAACCAACCAAGACAGCAAGCAAGCAAACAAACAAGCAACCCACCAACCAACCAAGTAATTAAGCAAACAAACAAACAAACAAGCAAAGAAACAAACAGACAGACACACACGCACACACACACACACACACGGACACACAGGTGGTATTTGGGTCAGAGGTACTTCTTGGCTGGGGTCATTGGCTACGGCATCGGCTTGCTGGCGACCTTCGCGCCGGGGCCCTTAGTGACGGAAGTCCGCCAGCGGCCGACTCCGTGAGGAAAGCTTCTTGCGGGGGTCCGACCCGGTGGCTTGGGTTCAACCCCTAAAAGAAAGGTTGACCAAAGTTAGATGATGACAATCCTTAGGTAAACCATGGGTGGTTATATATGGACCCCATGGTTTCAATGGTGATTTGAAATTTGAACCCCAGGGACTATGGTCGGTACCCAGAAAATGCCATCCCGAAAGCTTCCCTCTTATTGGTTTTGATTGGTGGATTTGAGGTGAGGGTAGGTTTGTCCTTTTAGTTGCTACCCTTTAAACAAGGGGTGGGTTTGGTTGGGGGACCAAAGGGAACCCCATTTGAGGCTCCTCCTCAGTCTGACACATGGCCCAAGTCTGGTTTTCCAACCAACCACAAGCGGCTGCAAACAAAACCGACCGAAAGGTGGGATGTGTGTTCCGCTTGCCGGATAAAAAGCCAGGTGATCGGTCAAAGTCGAGGAAGGGGGAGGGTTGAACAAAGAGGGGGATCAAACGAGAGGGCGGGCCAAACAAAAATTGGGTACTCCCATTGATGCTGGTCTGGCTGTTGAATCCGGGATATGTTAGCAGCCGCAAGTTCCAGTTGCTTGAGAAAATGTGTTATTTCCCCGTTGGTTGTAAAGGGAAGCTATCACTGGTAACATGATTGTTTTGAGAACAGGCAACTGGAGGCTTGTTGGGATGCTTCAAACCAGCTTGCACTTCAGAAGGAAGCTCAGTTCGGAAGTTAATTCGCCACTTCCTGGAACTGGTTTACAGCATTGGAGTTTCTCAGGGTGGCGTGGATGGGATGAGATTCTTGGGTGCTCAACCAGCTTAGTAAGGTTGCAACCATGAGTATGACTTTGGAAACCGGGATCAGTCGGGACCCTCAGAACTCGGGCTTATACCCTACTTACCTTAGGTTGAAACCTAGCATCCAAAAGTTAGGGTTTCCACCCCAAAGTTACCAAAACGAGGAAAACCCATATATCTCTACCGTGCATTGCATGTGGCTTTGTGGGGTTGCATACCACATGTCGCCTTGGGTATTGGCCGGAAGCTGTCGAACACATCCGAGACCAAGTGGAAAAGCCAGGACCATGGCATGGCCAAATACAGGGCAACAGTGGTTTGCGCCGGACCTCCTGGCCCCACCTTGAATAGCAAGCTTTAAAGGAGGTGTTTGTCTTGTTGGTTCTCAGCAGGGAATGACCCAAGAAAAACAATTCCCTATGGTTTCCTTTAAGGGACTCCCCTTCTGGTTCAGTCCTAAAACCCTGTTTGAAAACATGAGTTTCCGTCAGAGTGTACAGGATTGGAGCCCTGACCCTCGTGGCACTTCTTTTGTTCCATATCTTCAGCACTCCTGGTCCAATTCAGGAAGCCCCCACGGCACCCCTCCAGAATCTTGGGAATTCACAATGGCAATTGACCAAAGCCTGCCAATCCCGATCTTGACTGCTGTTGGGCTGGATTTTCAGACCTTGACTTCTTGGTTGACATTTCAACTGCTGCTTTCCAATCATTTAACCCACAAACAAAGCTTTTTAACATATTTCTGTTTGCAGAGGGGTCGTTGCAGCAACCAACTAACATGTGTCCTAAGAATCTTGGGACCTGACAATGGCAATTGAGGTCCAAAGCCTTCCATTCCCGAGCTCTCCCGTTCGATCGGCTCCATGTGCAAAGCGATCGCCGATCGAACGCTCAGGTCGCTGTACTTGATGCAGTCGGGCCAGCCCGCTCTGCTCTTCCTTGTCCCTGGCACGCTGGCCAGAGACTTGGGTTCATCAACACGTCCAGTACCCCGCGATCCAAATGAGCCACAATCAAAACCCGGGTAGATGAAGGTTAGTAAGGGAGAATCCCAACAATACATAGCTGCGGATATCCGCCTTCTTAAGTCTTGAAGCATGGTTCTGGGATTACGACTATTTTGATACCGGGTTTTGATCATGACTCAAATGGGTGTGTCCTTCGTTTGAGGGCACCCATTTCTGGATTGGGTTAAAGGGGGTCCCCTAAAACAGGCTGGCCTTGCCAATACCCCGTTCGGTGGCCGAGGGATTTTCCCCAAAAAAGGTTTTTCCTTTGCGGTTGTGCGCTGTTTGGACCTTTTGCTGTGGCAATGTTCGACAGTTTGGACCGTACTCTAAATCTCCGCTTGTTCTTGGGCATCTGTTGAAACTATCTTCCCCCTCCCCCCCCAATGCCTCCTTCTATAGTCAACCAATTTTGGCACGGGGTCTCACTTCCAGAACCACCCGGGCCGCCCGAAAAACACACGATGATTAGTTTGTGGGTGTATTTTCAGACGCACAGAGAGAGGTATGCTTGGGGGGGAGGTATGTTTGGAGGATCTCCCAGTCAGAGGTGGCCTTTTGCGATGGGATCCCCCCCGATGTGAGGACACACCTTAGGGGCCAAACATGTCCCACATGAGTGGTCAATGGTGACCTTTTGGTTTCCCATGGTTGGTCCATGTTTCTGGTTCCTTTGGGCAACTGAGTTTTAGATGAGCCTGGTGAAAAATAGATGGGCAAGCCACTGGTTTAGATGTGTTAAATGTGCCCCATTTACCAGGGAAACCCATCTATTTTTCCAAAAGGCCAGCTATGCTCTTGCTTGCTGTTTGCTCAGAACTAAGAAAGGCACACGATGGTGTACACCCAAGTCAGCGCACAGATGGTGCCCGGGTGTATGGGCCCTCGTTCACGGCCGCGAACAGAAAGAAAGTCACCCGGTGACCGGTGGCGCAATCGCTGGAACAGGGACGTTCAAGGAAGTCATGTCCGAGTTGGACGTCTTCTTCCGCAGCAGCTGATCAGCTCGAGACCTGGGGGCGCCACGCACTCCTCCGGGGGGTGGCTGCTCTACTCTAAAGAAGGCGAAGGTCACCGGTTGCAACTGGAGCCCACACCATTATAGTGGGACCTGCGGGAGGATCTCGAGCCAATACCACCGTTGGCACCTTTGCAACTACTCTTGGACTTCCATTCGGTCAAAGTTACCAAAAAACACGTCTTTTTTTGGGTCAGGCCTTTCTTTGTGCGGGTAAGCGAAGTATATATCGACCCTTCCACTTGCTTAATCGAGAGGACTTTGTTACTTTCCCCCCAGCTTCTTTTCAGTGCACTCGAATAATTTTGGGTGCTATGGCCCATTTTGAAAATAAGGGCACTTCGTCTTTAAATCAAAGATGTCACTTAAGCCATTTGGAGGGCACTTCGACTCTCAGGGTTGCCCTCGCCAGCAGATCTCTCCTCAGTCCGGGCAAATCGAGAGCGACACGTGAATGCGAATGATACTCACACGGGGGGGGGACCGACGCTGGGCAAATCGAGCCGCGCCGACACGCGAATGACACGGGGACCGACGCTAGCGTAAGTGACCTTTCCAAGGGGTAAGTGACCTTGATTCGCACCCCCCACTGACACTCAAATGACACGCTTTGACACTCAAACCGCCATGTTCGGGCTTTCCGGGTCGGCTCCAATCAAATGCGGCAGTTGTCACACTTCGGCACGGGTAGCTGATCGATTTCAGCAGAATCCCAACCCCTATCAAGCCAACAAGGGCACTTAGCAAACGAATCAAAGGGTCACTTAGGCCGACACGGCCTTTGCCCTCGATTCAACAACACGTCAAGTGCCCTTCATCGGAGGGCAGTAAAAATATGCTGGTTGGTTGGTTTCAAAGGGAATCGATTTCACTACTGGACATACTTTCTCATTTCTTCCAGGTGCTGGAAAAGCAAATGTCCGGAGCTGGTTCACCGAACCCTGTTTGCTCTACTTTCAATTTCAGCTGGTGACTGCTCTGAAATGCTGGGGGCCCAAAGAAGATTTGATGAGCGTCTGCTGGTTCTGAGAGCTTTGACACTTACCCTAAATTCAGCCAAGCTTTAACCGAGCCCAAACTAGGTCCCCCAGTAGTGCCCTTTCTCCCCAACTTTGTTGGGGAGGCTTCCCCTATACTAAAACAGACCACAGAGAAAATATTTTAAAACAAAAAAAACAAAACCGGGGGGCACCCTTAGTCTAACCTCCAAAACTGGAGTGTGGAGTGTGGGAGCGTGGACGCGGTAAGTGACACCTCAGCAGCTGCCTCGGAGGTGCCGACCTGCCTCATCGCGCTCCGGAAGGTGCAGCTGGGGGGGTCAAGTCTCACCGCGTGAGGGTGGAGTCGGGGCCTTTCTTTCGGGGTGCCCCGTGTTTTTGTTGATGTTTTTTTTTTTAGAAGAAAAAACAACAAAAACAAGGGAAGCCAGAATGCCATTTGGGGGGGGACCCGAAAATATTTTTTTGGGGGGACCCCGAAAAAAGACACCCCCAATGTCCGCAGGCTGCAAAGAAGAACGCAATTTTGGTGGGTGGCAAGAGACTAGTATGGGGACTCTGGTATGGTTGGAACCCTGAACCCACATGAGCCACAATCAAAACCCGGGTAGATGAAGGTTAGTAAGGGAGAATCCCAACAATAAATAGCTGCGGATATCCGCCTTCTTAAGTCTTGAAGCATGGTTCTGGCATTACGACTATTTTGATACCGGGTTTTGATTATGGACTCACATAAACTCTGCACGAATCGACACCTTGAACAATTCGCGCCAGGACGAAACGCTTTTACCAGACATCTCAGGACTCCTTGGGTGTATCTCAGGGCCACCTTAGGGCCGCTCTTTTTTGTTTGTTTTGATTTGTACAAAGGAGAATCGTTTCTGTTTGGGTTTCCTTGCGGTTTACGGTGAACTCACCAACGCAGATCGACCTGACTTTTTGGTTTACCACAGTTTTCGCCACCCCTAGGCCATGAGCTTATGGCGCTTAGGTTAGGAGTCGGTCGAACCTGAATGGGCGTCCTTTGGTGTTTTTTTTGCCAAGAAATCCTCTATCTTACCGCCCAAACAACATCACATTGCTTCCTTTTGCATTCCAGGGGGGCATACCAACCGCATCCCGGGCGCCGAATTCCATCTGGAGAAACACTTCTGCCGATGGACGAAATCCATTTCGCGCCACTTGGCACCCATGATTGAAATCTTGGCTGGTATTTACAGGGGAAATCGTATCCGACACCAGGGTTTCTCAGGTGGTGTGAAATGGATTTCGTCATCCACCGTATGTGTCCTATGTGAGTTTGTCGGAAAGGGGCAAAACTTCCATTTGCTTAAGAATTGTTTCTATTTTCCCTTGTTGGTTTTAAAGGGAGTCTATCACTACTGGAGGGGGCTTAAGCAAATGGAAGGAAACAGTTTGCTGTTTCCCTTTCGTTTCTCAGAAAGCTGTGATTCAAAATCAACGGTACCATTTTGGGGTAGGTGCATCACCCATTTCAGTCGTGATTTTAGTGGGGATGGGGATGTTCACTGGGTACGGTACCATCTTGGGTAGGTGCGCCACTCATTTTAGTCTATTTTAGTGGGGATTGGGATGTTCACTGGGAGGTAACTGGGATTTTGACCCATGGCCTTAAAAAAAAAATAAAAAACTGGTTTCTCATAAACATGTTTTTGTTGCTTCCCCCGTGGTTTCTCATATATGAGTATGTGTCCTTCCGGTTCCTCATAAAGCGACCCCTCCGGGGGTTTTTCGCCACTCGCCAGGGCGAGTTCAGAGAGCTCTGGTCTGCCGATTACGGGCCAGGCGGGGGGGCTTTCCCCGAGGCTTCGGCAGGAGAGATTCGTTGGGGGAGGGGGGGGAGGGGGTTGGGGGGGTTTGGGGGTTTTGGGGGGGAGGGGGTTTTGGGGGGGGTTGGGGGGCTTTTGGGGGGTTGGGTTGCATTCTTGGATGTTCAACCTATGCTTTTTGAGCAGGTTATATGCCTTTAAGCCAACGAATCCAGCTACCCCAGTCATAACCTTGAGTATAACCTACTTGCCTGGGCCTGACGTAGGTTGAACATCCAAGCTGGAAACCTGCTTGTTCTTACTTAGACGCTGGCCTCGGCTTACGCAAAAAACAGCACAAGAATAGACCCCCTCCATTAGACACTTTGGAGGGCTGGAGGGGTTCGCGGGACCCACTTTGAGGAGCCTTTGGGAAGGGAATACGGGAACGAACCTCCCAACCATGCCAGATTCCAATCATGGGGCTTCTTGAAGGGTTATTCCCAAATTCGCCAAGAACAAGCAAGACAAGTCGGGTTTTGGAATCACTTTCCGTACCTTCAGGATCCCTTCCACTGCGACGAAGTCATGGCCCACACAAGCGGTGTGGTCATCTCCATGTCTTGCTTTGAGGATCAAACCCCAAGAGGGTTTGCGTGTACTTTAGAGCTGGTACCCATTTTCCAGATTCAGGGAAGCCAAGAGCGAAACAAGCAGCTTTTGTCGCGGCGCTCATGTTTGATGCATGGCCTTGTGTTTCTCCTGATTGTTTTTGGGTGGGGGGAGGGGAGGTGAGGGAAGGGGGTGGAATCACTGGTTCAGCCAACGTCAGAGTGAGTTTCCTTTGGCGGAGCGATGTTCGGGACCCCAGGATCAACAAAGTCTGATTGATGAGAAGTCTGATTGATGAGAAGGTGAAATCCTTCACTTTTGGAGACAAGCAGCGACCTATTGATGTTTCGAGCTCAACGATTTTAGGGGGTTGAACCTGCGACTTGTTGAAGAGCACCCAAAGGGGAGATATGGGGAACCCTGTTTGGGACATGGCCGTGGGTCAAAACCAATGGTACCATTTTGGGGTAGGTGTACCACCCATTTGAGTCTAGTGGGGATTGGGATGTTCACTGGGGGCTAACCGGGATTTTGACCCGTGGCCACATGGCTATGCGAAGCCTCGGTTTTTCCCGACCCCAGCCTTTTACTGCCCCAGAACACGCCTCTTTTGCTCGGAAGGGAGCCCAGCAACCCAGCAGCCGTCCAGTTTTGCCTGGAGAGCCCTCCGAAGCTTAAAGGAGTTCTGCAAGATGCTTGGTATCTTTCGCGGTGGGCGTTGAATGAATTTCGCTGAGGCTAAACTAAGCCTCCACCTCCTTTTGGTTCTGTTTTTTTCTCTTTTTCTTGGTAACTTCCTTTTTTTAACGTTGGTTCCATTGGTTACCTAACAGGTACCGGGTGGACGCGTGCTTCGTTTGACAGGCGAGGAGGCGGCGCAGGCTTCACCGGACGTGGAGAAGTCCGCGTGATGCGAAGCAAATCGCATTCAGTTTGGGAACCCCAGAGTAACAAACTCCCGGTTGACGAATCAGCTTCACTTCCAGAGTTCCTGGATTTATCAAAGACCTGTTCAGTTGACCTTTGTTTTTATTGTCTCCATGGCATAGGCCCGAAAGAGGCCAATGCTTTAAGGACTTATTCTGACAGGTTGTTTCGCTGGTTGATTGTTTACTCCTGACTCAACCTTACAGGATTTTGTTTGTTACTTTTGACTAATTCTTAGTCCTCAGGCCTGCAACCGTGGCCATGGATTTTGGCCCGTCTGAGCAGAGATTGCCTGTTCGGGCGGCGAGAAGGCGGAGCCTCGCATTTGAAACGAAAACTTGAAGCCTCCTTCGGACGATAGATTCGGACCCTCACACCCTCAAAATAGTTGAAACCACCCTGAGGCAATATCCCATTTTGAAGGTAGCTTGAGGGTCCACTGATATGAAGGCGTTCCGGTCAAATGTGGATTCTTCAGAGGTTGTTTGTGTGCTTTGAGGTTTCTCCGAAGAAGACAAACACCGAAGACCCATCGTTTATACATATTTTCCAGAAGGAGGTTGGTGTAGCTGGGGCCTCACTCGGCCGTTTCTCTGGCTGTGAAGGCCAAGGCTGAGAAAAAATTGCGCGAGGTGTCGGGTTGACTTTGGGTTGCTCGGAGCCAGAAGGGTACCGGAACCCACCAGAAAATCCCCTTTCAAAGGGAAATGCCTCTCCACTAACATTGAACCCACCAGAAATTCCATTCGACGGAAAGTGCCTTTTGGTGTCTCTTGGCCAAAGTTTTCTCCTCTTTTGTTTATGGAAAATTTTAGCAACTCGCATGACTCAGCGCTTCTCCTTCGCGAAGTCCATGCCAGGCAAACCATCCAACTCTAGGTCCAGGATCGTGCCCTTCTTTGCCAACTTTTTTGGGGGAGGGTTCCTCTACAAAAATAGACTACAGGAAAAGGGTACCCATAATTATTCAACTTCTATGTTTCTTTTCTGGAGGGTTCCTCTACTAAAGTAGACTACAAAAAAAGTACCCTTGTTCTAGCCTTTCTACTGGAGGACCTAGAACTGGTGGTTTCCTTCAAGGGGACCAAAGCAACTGGGTTCATTCATTCCCACATTCCCTACCTATCGCACCAGCAAGCTGTACATTTTGCCCGCATTTGGTCCATCCTTATGCTTTCCAAGGTGTCCTGGATGGGGTGATGCGAACAGAGGCTTCGATATCACCTCCGAAAGGCGGCAGAATACTGTGCCCACTGCAAACCTCCAATGGGAAAGCACACCTCATGTCTTGTGGCCAACACAAAACACACACAGAGTCAACCAGATCGAGTTTTTAGGGCAAGGTTGTTTGTGACGAAATGTGTGAGTTGTAGGGGACGGAGCCTCAAAAAGGATTCAGTCTGCTTATAGTTTCCAGTTTACACCGACCAAAAAGGACAGACCCAAATATACCCAAAGAACGACAGACCCAAAGACCCAATCGTTTTTCCCCAAGAAACGACAGACCCAAATATACCCAAAGACCCTCACACCCTACATTGGATGTCCTACCCCCGGAGCTTTGGGGTGAAATGTGATTTTCATGTTTCGGGGGTCAGGAACCCTACCAGAACACCTGTTGCATCATGGTTGCCTTTGGTTGCCCCCCCCCCCCCCAAATAAAAAATGGAAAACAAGAAAGAAAGAAAGAAAGAAAGAAAGAAAGAAAGACAGAAAGAAAGAAAGACAGAGACACAAACAAGCAGACACAAAGCTCAGGTGATATCCCCAACAGCACCACACCCGTACGGGTTCTGCAGATGGCCATCGCTTTCAGCTGTTGGGGGAAAAGGAGACGGAAGAGGTGGTTTCCTTTTGGTCCCTCTCAAACCACCAAAACTGGAGTCCCCTCACAAAAAGAGAGACCCACGTACTATAACGGCTTGCCTGCAAGCAACCGGGAGTGGACATGGCCGCAGCTGTTTATCCCGAATGGAAAACAATAGCGCAACAGAAAGCCCCGCATGGCTTGAGTCGACCTCCTTGGGTAGGGACACCGACACGGACGAAACCGCGGGTTCAAAGCATCAGCCCAAGCAAAAAAAAAGCAACCCCTGCTAAGCTCCATCTTAGGGCTTTCAATTAGGAAGGAGTGTCAACTGGACAGACTGACACTTTGGCACTTGGAAAACAGCTGGCTTTCAGAAACGATGAAAGAGCCAAAAAGCGAAGCCCTTGGATTTGTTCGGTTTTAAATTCAATCCACCACCGACCGCCTCGCTCGGAGAGCCTGCGCGCTCCAACGCGATGTGGATGTGAGATGGAGGACCTCGAAACCTCGCTAACCAGCCGGCTGCCGGCGAGGAGCAGGTGGGTTTGGGTGAACATGTGAGGAGTTGTGTCAGGGTTTTTCTCGAATTCTGGGGGTAGGGGCAAAAGGGCCCATAACCCGCGCATTTGGTATGGGTTGATGCATTGTTTATCCTGAATCCTTACCCCGGACCAGCGGAGGGTAGCATAGTTCCAGTTATCCCACGGATCAGGCCATGGACCCGCAAGTTGTCCTACACATTGGATTTGTCACCCCCTATTCAAGTTGGGGCACGATCCCACTAATTTCCGGGGAAGTATATTGACCTCACACGGCCGAATTCACCCCGTGGAAATATCCCTCCAACTTCACCGCAAGTTTCAGGCTGGTGAATTCTTATTATCATTCACCCAGACTGTTTTTTTCCCGGGTCCAGACTGCTTGGCCTTCGGTTTTCTCTGCACGGAGTGCAAGCCTTGTGGGAACCGGAACCATTCGCATTCGGCTGTGTTGCTCTTGGAAAGGGCACTTGAGGTTTTGGCACATTTCTTTTGGAGCCACAGCCATATGGCTATGAATTTTCATGAGGAACCACCTCGAAAGTGGTTGGTGGACATGAATCCCTCCACCGAAATTTGATGTTCACCAAAGGCTCCCGCATGAAGATTCAGGCCTTTGGTCTGTGTCAAAATTAAGCCAGAAAACCGCAGGTGTTAGTCCATGTTTCCATTTCGGGCAACCCATGCTGGGGTTACCCTATTTTTGACCCGCAGCCATATCAGATGTCCAGCAGATTTGCTCCGAGCCTTACGAAGATCAGAAAGGCAAGGGGGACTTGTCAGCGAGGTGATGGGCATCAGTGCCTCTAGGTGCCATCATACACCTGGCTGGTGTTCTTGGGTGTGACCTTAGCCTAAGCCCCAAGGCCTTCACAAGCTTCCATTAGACTTGGTGGCTCCCAGCCATCCCCTTAGCTTTTTAGCCTTTTAGCCTTTTAGCCTTTTAGCCTTTTAGTGTTTAGTGGTAGTTTCCATTTAGCCCACTAAAAGTTACACTTTTAGCGGGGGATCTGAAAACGGCAGCCCAGTAAACCAACAAAACACGTGACTGACCTTTGGCTCAGGGAAGAGCAGCCCTGAGTGATGTAAAGCTGAAAGGTACAGTTTCATTTACCTGAACCTTCAAGCGGCCCTTAACACTGGGACATTGCCAGATGATGATGGTCCAACTAGGAGCACGGGTCATAACGCGCCGTGGCGCGTTTGACAGTGCCTCATCAACGAAAGCATGTGTTTTACCAGGGTTTCTGGCCAAAGGTCGAAAAGTCTCACTTGCAAAAGGCCCTCAAACTACTTGTAGCAGCAGCCTCTTTTACATAATCTCGCTTAGCTTCTTCAGGAAGGCCAAAGGTTTCAGTGGCTCATCGTGCATGATGTGTTGTCGCCACATCCACATATAGCAATACTTTGCAACCTCTACATTGAAGGTTGACTGCCCATTCTCTTTGATCTTCAAGATCAACATTCAGTTTGGCTGCAGCGTGGTGCGGGCTTTCATTGCCATCGATGGGGCTGAACTCCTCTGCTTCTGAGTCTGAGTCACGGGTCATGGACTTGGAGTCTCCACTGCCCGCAGGGGCAAGCCGAACCAAAGCCAAGCGTCTCGACAACACCCACGCAGCAGCAGCCAGAGCCAACGATGCCTCCCCAGGGCCGAAATTGCAACGGAAACCGACACTCAATCTCCACGACCTGGTTCACGAAGCCAAGAATGGGATCTGGCGTTTGACAGCAGGTGTCCAGCAAGGAGTCAAGATACTCAGGGTGGACCAAAAAGAAAGAGCTCAGCACCGGGTGATCAGCAAAGACATGAGAACGCCCCCCCAGGCGGAGCAAAAGGATCAATGCCAGGGCGAGTCGGCTATCGGGGGACATGTGAGCCAGCGGCACTGCAACAACAACGCGGACGTCCCGATGTGAACAACAACGACTCAACGTCTGGTCGGGCAGCAGTGAATGCGCCGATAACACTCCCCCCCCCACCCCAAAGCACCCTGCAACACAGAAAAGATGCCGAAAACACACGGCGTAGCACGACCCGTGGTCCAACTACTTGGGTGTACCCACTTCATACTTCATACTGTGGATGGACAAACTCCTGCACCACCTAAGAGACCCTGGTTTCTCATCATGCCCCCGTAAATACCAAATGAATACTGGTGTCCCGTGTTATCAAAGTGGTGCGAACGGATTTCGTAACCATCGACAGTAGGTCACCGAGGGTCCCGAGGGTTCAGGCTGCAGGCAGACCCTCAGATATACCTCCCTGTTGCCAGCCAGGCGCCCAGGTCAACAGGTGCCAGGTGCTAAGACGCGTGAAAGGGGGTCCGTCTCAAGCTGGGAATCATTAAAGAGTGGGGTTTCCAGGAGTTTAGTGGTTTGTTGTTTAACATCCCTAAAATTGGTGGAGTGGCTTTTTGTTTCCACTTCACCCGCAAGTTCTAGCAACTTTTGGCAGGGGGTCAGTTTGGACAGCCCAATAAAATTCTGCCTGGAATGGATCCAACCTAGAAACGAGTTCGCGGCGGATAAGCGGTTTTCCCCGGTTCGCGAACGTGTTCGGCCGCAGGTGGGTGGGTAGCCTCACGGCCGCGGGCCTCAGTGCGCGGGCCTCAGCGTGGCTGGTCGTAGGGGGGGGTGGAGTTGAGGCAGGTGGGGGCTGGGTAACATGATCCAGAGATCCCCACCCCC